TTTTAAATAGTATATTTTATTTTTTTATATTTTAAATAATATTTTCATATATATAAATTAATTAAACTTTTTAAATTTTGAAACGATAAAAACTCATTGTTCATATATAAATAACGTACCGCCCATATCAAGGAAAACTTGAATTTGGCTGGCGAGCAAATCGGAATCTTTCGCGGAATTAGCTTCTTCCACGCGTATCTGCAAAGCTTCGGAGAAGTTTTGACTAAAATATATCAAACCACTGAGCTTCGCATTTTGTACAGCCTGTTTTGCCTCGGAAATGTTGTCATAGTACTCCTGAAAGCGAAATATTAATAAGAATTTTTAAAACATATAACGTTTTGATTATTGTTACTGTCGTCCTTTCGGTTACATCGTTACATGGCATTTTGCCGAAAAGCTAAACTGATAAATGTTGGTATCAAAAACTCCTAGGCACAATTTTAATTTGTAAGATTAGTAAGGACCTCCGCACAATAAAAGGAACAGGAAACGGAGAACAGAAAATAAGAATTTCAATCTATCAGAAATCATGTTTTGTGAAATACACACTTTCTGACTGTTGAAATTGTTATTCCCTGTCTCTGTTCCCTGTTTTTTTTATTATGCAAAGTCCTTAACACTGTTGAAGTAGTAAGTACATAAGTTTGTCCATAAGTCCATACCACAAACTTATGCACTTATTACTTCAATAGTGTTACTAATTCATACACTATTAAAATAGTGTTGTCTAGAAGTTATTGTTAGTACCAATAGTCTAATCGTATTAGTACTAATAGTTCCAGTCTAATTTTTCAGGAAATTGTTATGTAATCGTCTTCTTAATTTATATGAAAATGTGTGCGCGCGCGTCCTCGTTTATTCGTGTGTGTGTGTGTGTGTGTGTGTGTGTGTGTGTGTGTGTGTGTGTGTGTGTGTGTGCGCGCGCGCGCGCGCGCGCGCGAAGATTTTCATATTTCAATTTGGGAAAGGTAGTAAGAAAAGAGTGTTTGCCTATATCACATTTAGTTCGTTTGTATATAAAAATATATTACGCATTAATATAAAATTAAGAGGAAGAAGCACTACATACATAACATGATACTATTGCGCACAACCTATATTGCACACATAATATTTTTGCCTACATATATTATTATTATATTTTTGGCTTGATTGTTTACATGCACTTTTGCGGACAAATAAAAATTTTAGAACCGAAATCACGTTTGCCGACATGTATTATTATCTACAAATCGATTACCTATAAGCATTTTTGCGTACACACAAATATCAAATTAAGATTAATCTATGTAAGAAAATATAATAATTTTTATTTTTAAAGCAGGAAATTTGTATGTCAAAGCAAAGAATTTGTGTTTCTAAAGCAAAAAATTTGTATTTTTTTTTTAATTTATGTTCAGAAATTATGCGTATTTACGAATTATCTCCATCCGTGTCCAAATCCATTTTGAAAATGCTAACGTTTCGTGAACATTGCAGTTCACTTTATCATAGGAATACTTAGTACTACCAGGCTGGCCCTAATGAAATGAACTGCAATGTTCACGAAACGTTGGCATTCTAAGAATGGATTTGGACACGGAAATAACTCGCGAAATTCACGATTTCTGTACAGAAAGTGAAAGTCAGAGAACAGAATTTGTGTTTTTAAAACAAAGAATAGTATTTGTAGACAATCGAGCTGTAAGCAATAATACATGTAGGCAAATGTGACTTCGCCTTTGAAATTTTTATTTATACGCAAAAGCTAGTGCATGTCAGACAATCAAGATATAGGCAATACATGTAGCCAATCGATCAGTAGGCAATAATGTTATGTGTGCAATGCAATTTGTGCGCAATAGTGTCGGATGTGCAAAAGTGTATTTTTATATTAATTTTATATTTATACTCAATAGTATATGTGTAGACAATCGAGTTGATAGGCAATAATTTTTGTAAACAACTATCGGCAAATATGATGTAGGTAAACACTATTGTAAGCAAAGAGTTATCTCTAAAAATTCCAAAGCCGTCTATATTACCGATTAAATTATAATTTTTGTAACAGTTACTTTTTTCCTCTTTTATAGATTCAAAAATCCTTTTCCAGGATTAAAGTACGCATATTAATATGTGTCTGTGAAGTAAAGTTTATGAGTACAAAAACAATAAAAAGTTTCAAAATTAAAATCTTAAAAATTGTTTGTCGTTCTGGGCATAAACTTTACCTTACAGACATGTACTAATAGCGTATACTTTAATGCTGGAAAAGGCTTTTCGAATCTATAAAAAAGAAAAAAGTAATTGTTATACAAAGATTATGATTTAATCTGTAATACAGCTTTAAGATTTCCTTAAAGAAACGTAAAATTGTTTTAATCATATTTATGCCGATTATACATTAGAATTATTTTGAAATCGTTGTACTTGTATTGCGATAGAGTTGTCAAAATTATGTAAAAATCTACAACTGAGATTGTCAAAATGACAAGTGATTTCATCACTCCAAACATTGCCAAAGTTGCTATTCAAACTGCAGTTATTGACTTCATCGTTGACGATGCCAATCTTCAAATTTTTCGGATTATTACCAATTGCCATAACAAATAGGCCGGTTTGAAGTATTGGAAATATTACTGCGGAAACTAGTAATCTGAAAAAATATGTAATTTATTATTTATTATTATTATGAAATATACCACGATTAATAAATTTAAATTTTTTAATTATAATGTTTTGTATGCTACGATATAATGATGTACAAAAATAATACAGAAAATTTGAAATTAAGACAGTTAAAATTCTGTTTTTTGGATATTTTTTTTTTTGTATTCTATATTCTATATCCTATATAAGTTTATGTCCTTTAGGAGAATTAATATATATATATATATATATATATATTTACGTATAATAACGCAAAAATTGGATGCCATTCTTCACTAATAGAGCTTTGAACCTTCTCAATCGTGATACTTGACGTTCCGAAATTGCTTCGTACTCTGATATTGCCTTCAAAATTCAAATTATTTATGTTATAAAATGATACCGATTATAGAGTTTTTTATAGTAATGATTAGGGCATAGATTATTTCTACATATACTTTTGTTAATTCACATTGATTTTGATCTTTATACAAGACATCACTGCTGGTGTCTTCCACTTCTCGAGCTTCATTCAAAGTGATTGTGTTATTTTGGACATTACATAGTTTCAGAAAAGCTTCTTCCAAAGATGAGCATTGAAATTGCTCCAGCAATTCCTGTGGCGCTGATTCCGCTAACAATTTACCACATCTAATCAAACCAATCTGTGTAACAATGAAAATGCACAATATTGAATGATTAAAAAATGGTGGTAGTTTAGGGCCAAACCTTGCCTGTAATGGAAAGTATGAAATCGATCAATTTTTATAAATTTGGACGTGCTGAACTCGAATATAAAGCTTAAAATTTTCCAAAGTCTTAAAGAGGAACTTGATGAGAATACAATTTTTTCGTTTTCAATTTTATTTTTCAGTTACGCGAGATTCCAAAATAGTATCAGTATAAACCAGAGATTCATAAAAATTATGGTTTTCAATGTATAAAAGACTCAGACGGATCAGAAGAGGAAGATTTATAAAAATTCAAAGTGACACACGGCAAATATATTGACATAAGAAGCTTCTGAGTAGTCATCACAGTCATATTGAATCATGACATCGAGCGAAAAATGACACATTAATTTTTATTAGGCAAATCTAGTGCTTTTATGCAACACGCATGTGCAGCTTATTTTTAGCTTACACTTTTATCATGTTTTACGGTTACTTACTGACTGTCAGGGAAGATAAGCATAGTTTTTTCGTCCATTTTTACAAATGTTTTAAAGCAATCTTATCATTTTGTTTTATCCAAATTGTCTTTATTTATAAATAACACGTAATAAAAATGAATGTGTCATTTTTCGCTTCTAACGTCACGATTTAATATGACTGTAATAACTACTCAGGAGTCTTAACAAGGCGGATTAGATTCTATAAGACATACTAAGATGTACCGAATTCAGTAACCATGCGGTGTATCTTGAATAATGCTGAGAGTGAAAAAGCAGAAACGCACCCATGCCCACGCACATTGATACGGACATTTACCTTTGTTCATGTTATTGTACCGTGTAACATTGACTTTTACGTTGCAAAAAATTGCAGTTTTCGAAGTCATAATAGAAAAAAAGCTTTTTTGTTCAGTTACTATTTGTTCATCGGGAAATAGAATATTCTGCTGTAAAGTTTTCTGGACTTTGGAGAATTTTAAATTTCATATTCGAGTTCAGCATATTCAAATCTATAAAGTTTCATACGTTTTTATCACAAAAAAATTTTGGCCCTAAACTGCTATTTTATTGTGTCATCAACCAAAACACATTTTTTTACATGCAATAATTTTGTAATACCCGTATTCATAATCCTTTTTTGAGAAATGATAATTCCTAGTTCCTCATTTCGTTTCATAAATCTTCTTTGACCAAACAAAAAGCCTTATTAGCTTCCTATTCTCAAGAAAGGTTACGAGTTTCCTTGAGGAGGAGATGCAGCCTTTATAACCAATCCTAATAACACAAGTCATATTGACATCAAAACGACATCATTTTGACGTCATTTTGATATTATCGTGACTTAGTTATGTTACTTGGGAAGCAAATCTCCAAATTTAATTCGTCACACCGATCTTTTTACTTTCAAGAGCTTTTAATTTAGATCCATCACATCGATAATTATTTTTAATAGCTTTTTTTCGGAAATAAACTGCGCCAACAGCATTTTCTCTTTCTTAGTATAATAAGCATTATGGCGAATTCGATTGAAAGCACGTTAAAGCCGTTGTACACAGATTTAATCTGTGTATAAAAATAAAATGTAAATATTTCGAAATACATATTACGAAATACATATTTTATCTATCAGTACAATAAAATATATTGAATATTTCAAAATTTAATCTATTTCTATGTTTATTTATATACATTTATTTACTTTATTTTGTGTATGTATGATGGTTTTAATGTGCATCATTGCGCATTGAGTGTGTCCAATCAAATTCGCTATTAGTTTTTTGTCCATTAATGTTGCATAATGCTAATCAGGACTTTATTTAATCAACAACGTCTTTATAATTTTTATTATTCACGATATTAAGTTTGCATATACTATATACGATGGTTGTCCTAAAATTAAAGATCTTTATTGTTATTCGTCGACATGGAAATTGTTTCTCAAATGTTGGCAGTAGTGACATGTAGCGGGGATCCACAACAAGCGATATCTATGATGGAGGGAATAATATGGTGTGCTCAATTTACAAGCAACTCTCTCTAATTCTGCGCCGTTTCTGTCTATGAATGCCAAGGGAAAAAAATAATATGTCGAAAAACAATAAAAGTCTTTAATTTGTTAATGACCTTCGTATTATGATTTGCTGCCTTCAGTAAGTTACTAAAATATCTCTTCCTTTGAAAAGGCAGAGTTTTGTTGATAAAACAAGGAGGCCTTGGACAATCGAGGAATCTTTCATGAAGACTTCCTTCATTTATAAAATAAAGAAGGACTATGAATACAGGTGTAAAAGCTTAAGTGTAAATACTTAAAAAGTATTTCCTGGTAATTTTTTTATATACATACTATTACAACTATTTTAATAAAAACAAGACGCACTTTATTAGCATCTTTACTTTCTTCAATGTAGTGTGTCGTGATCAACACTGTGATATCTTCCTCCTGCGTGATCTGGATCATGTAGGCCCAAATACTACACAAAAAAAGTACATCCAAACACTTTCTTATTATTATTCTTTATATTGTATCTAAAATGAGCAAAATCTACTTGCTTCTCTCTCAAAATTGGATCCAAGCCCACAGTGGGTTCGTCGAGAATTAGAAGTTCGGGTTTGTGAATTAATGCGGCGGCAAGAGAAACTCTTCTTTGCTGACCTCCACTCATGTTCTTCACTAGATGATCTGCTGGGGGTAGTTGAAGCAACTCCGAGAAGAATCGCTGTCTCGTCTCTGAGGAATAACACGGGAAAGCTATAGTCGTTTGAATTAAATTACGCTATGAAATATTTTGCATACGAATAATTTAAAACAAAAACAGATACGGTTTACAATACGTTTACTCAAAAATATTTTGTATAACTGAAATATAGAAAATGCGTGACATTTCACGTGCAACGAATGCTAATATTTTTTTTATTACATCCTACCGATCTCCTCATCGTCGAGCCCATTAATTCTACCGAAGTAATAGAAGGCATTGCTCATGGAAAACTCTTCAACCAAGGAAACCTCTTGCGGCATGTAACCTACTCGAGGTCCAGGGATGCCAGAGCCCTTGTTGCCCGGATTTCCTCCCAAGACCCACACTTCTCCGCTATCAAGATACCGAACCCCGACGATGCAGGACAATAGTGTGGTTTTGCCACATCCACTAGATCCCAACAATCCGTATCTGTTTAAAAGAAAGATTTTATTTATATGCTTTATTTTATTTTAAATAATACATTCGAATAAAATTTTTTATTTAAATTTATTTTCTTATTTGAATAATCATTATGAAATTATACGATTATCCTATCATAAATTTTGCGCAAACGGCAGCAATTTAAGAAGTCGGCGAATGTACATGTAAAATAGCAATTTATCTTGTTTCTCGAATAATGTAAAAATCGCGCAGATAATCGCTTAATTAATAAAACTTAATTAATTCTATGGCACTTTCTTTTTCTTCTATGGAGCATTTTTTAAATTATTCTTTTCGGAAAATTATTTGTTAACAACTTGAAGCGAAAATAAATAAGTACGATTAATCTTTTGTATTAACATGATAAATAACGGTTATTTACATGGAACCTTTTGAAACAGTCATATTCAGGCCATTGAACACCAACTCTTTTCCATAACGCTTTACGGCTTTCCTTACGACCACAGCCTCTTGTTGCACCATTTTACGATATTGTGATGAATATTTGATTAGCGGCCAAACTATAACAATTTTTTCTCAAATGACTTAAAAATAGATTGTGATTTACTGGAACAATTAACTTTTTAAAGTGATATTAAATTTAAGTGTTGTTCAATTCAATATAAGTGGTATGAAAAGATCAATAACGCTTATTGAATTTATAACAGGCAAATATTTTTCAAAATATTATTTTGTCTCAATGATAGTAAGATAACTTTTATTATTGACAATTAATGTGAAGATAGTATATAAAAATTGAATCTGTATTGAATCATATTCTTCTTTTGCTTTCAATTTAATAATATTTTATTTAATCGTATTTTTCTAACATTTTCAAAATTTTAAAAGTTTACAGATCGAATTTGCGTAAGATACATGTAATAATTAATGATAAAACAATTTGAAATATCTTATTTACCTTATTTAATTATAGAAAAATAATTTTTGAAAAATATAAGTATAATTTAAGAAAAGTATTTAATATCTTGAAAATGATTTGTTATTTGTGACATGTTTGAATAAAAAAAAATTACATAAAATTGAAAGCAATGCTCGCAAGTTAGGTAAATGGTGAAATAATTTTCCAATCGCTTATGGTATGAGTTTACAGCGTGAGTTGAAGGCCAGAGAATTAAAATTAACAATATTTAAATCTTCTGATATATTCTTCGTTACGGTTATGATTCCTGTTTTTATAAGCAGCGATGAGCGATTTCGTGTGAAATCTTGAGATATATCTGTAGGATTGATCGCTCGAATGATTCCCGAACGAGCTGACTCAGGATAAACCGGATAAACACAAAAGTTATCTCTGCTCGATGCATATTCGATGTCTACTCCGCCCATCGCTTGTCCGTTCGCGCATGCGCGCTTTCGTCGCTCCGCTCAGTCACCCATCCCACATATCTATGTATAAATATAAATAAATAAAAAATATTACATTAAAAAGGAATGAAAATGTATTATACTTATATTTCTTTGCTCGATTTTTCACGCAGCACCTTCTACTCGTATTTTTCTGTAATAGGAAGTGACAATGGAGCAATTAAATATTAAAAACGTTCTGCGTATGCATAATCACGTAAGTTTTTATTACGTGGAGTTAGATAACATTTACGTCATTTAAATAATATATGAAAAGATTGTAATCGTAATATTTAATTTTATCTTATAAATTAAAGGAAAAAAATAAAGAATATTATTTAATTTATTATTCACATTATGTATTATAAGAAATATATTGTCTAACTATGACCGGTAAAAACTTTTATGATTATATACACGTGCAATATTTTTAAATTATTATTATTTTCATCATTACCTCCTATTACGAAAATGCATCATCTTCTATTAAGAAAATGCAAGCAGAACGTCCCAACAAACAAGAACGGATTGAAATGCATTAAAATGGATTCAGATTTTCAAAAATATGTGTTC